CTTCCTGTTAAAATGCAGTTTTTCCTTATCACCATCGCAAAGTGCTCTCACATAGAGGGTTGCTTGATTGTTGGGGTTTTCTTCACTACCCCAACAATCAAGAATTAGAACATGAATTCAGTTCAGTTAAATTCAAAACACTTGAAATCACAACAACAATCACCTCAGGGCGCTTTATGTTGTGAGGTAAAAACCCTACAGTAATAACCCTGCCAATCACTCAACCCCCTACGAAAAAGCACTTGGTGACGATGAGAAGGTGAAACTCTTTCTTAACAGAAAGAAACCTCCAGCAGAATCCGGCTCAGGGATGGGCAGCCATCTGCAGGAAGCGAGACAGGACAAAAGAAATCAGTGCATCGTGGAAGGTTTCTAAGATTTTTAGGTCAGAAGACAAAAATAAAAACTTTATCTGGATTTAGAAGAAAGGAAATTAGAGGTCACTCAGTCCTTTAGGTCTTTGAGATATATCTGTTGTTTAAATAATTGGTGTGTGTCGTGTGGCTTGATAGATAAAGCTGGGTATCGTCAGCATACAATGAAAATGCATGCTAAGCCTTCGAATAATACTGCCTATTGGAAGCATTATATAATGTAAATAGAACGGGTCCAACCACAGAACCCATGGAGCTCCACAATTAACCTTAGTGTGTATAGAGGACTCCCCACGTACATGAACAGCCTGTTTATATTATGGTGAGCAGTATCAAATGCTGCATTGAGGTCTAGCAGGATAAGCACAGAGAGGAGGCCACTGTCAGAGGCCATAAGAAGATTATGGGTAACCTTCAATTAACTTCATTTGTAACCTGAAGTTAACTGGAAACCTAATTTTCCTCATTGCTGTCCCAGTTTAACCATATGCAGTTTTTAAAGGTTTCAAATGTTTGCTTGTCTAAATATGTCAGTATAAACTAACATTAGCATGTTTTGTGTATCTGTATGTGTGCCTGTGTGTCTCTTACATGCATGGCTTTAGCTGAGGAGTTAAAAACGGTAATGTAGCTCTTCAAAATATCAAAATGAAAAGCTGGAGTGAGCAGCCGCCTCTTGCGAGACCACACCTCTCCGTTACTGATCAACACACTGTTTCCTGAGAGAAAAAAGAGAGTTTGCAGGAATACTTCTTTCCTGTATTTCCTATGTTCTTTTAAGACTGGGTAATTAAAAAAAAATGACAGTGATCCTATCTTGCAACCATGAATGAGAAAAACTGAAATGTCTGACTTACCCAGCCATGGCTGTAGATGGTGATAAATGAGTTCATCTTTCACTGTGATGCTGGCTGAAACAAGTAAATAACAGATGATGTGAGAGAAGAACAAAATGGAAATGTGGTTTAATGCTGACTGACTATTGGTGTTTTACCCTACCAGGTGCCATAAGCAGAGGTTTGACGTAGTCAGGGTGGAAGAGTCTGACCAGGTGATAGAAAGGACCGAGGAACCAGCAGCAGGAGTGTTTGTATGTCTGCACCAGGTCATCCACCCGCTGAAGACCTTCTTCTGTGCTCTGCATCTAAAACGTTTCATTCCGAAACAAAATGTAAAGTTTTGCGGTGTTTAAAACAGTCGAAGAGGAAATAATGGTGATGTTTTGCAACAGAAAGTAAACCCTGTTTAACTCTGAACTCTGCAGTTATGTTATGATTTAGAGATAAATACGTCAAATAGATCATAAAAATCTAGATGATTGCTGCGTGTCGTACCTTCCCAAGATGGCCCAACAGCCATGAACGTGTCTGTGGTTTGCTGAAACAGGACAACTTGTGAGTGTACCAGGCGTGACGCAGCAGCAGCCTCGCAGTCCAAAGTGCAACCACAGCAACCAGTCCAGTACTGAAAATGTACAGGACTGAAGAGAGACCTGTCCAGCTGAGGACCAGAGCAAGGACAGTGTGCAGGAGAGCCATCACTGAGAGAGACCAATTAGCATCCAGAAGTCCAGGTTTCTCACCACTGATCCTGCTCTGTTGTGTTTCTTATAGAGGGAAGTTGCTGATGTTGAAACACGTAGAGAGGAAACTGCTCCACCCCACCAATTCTGATTGTAAATACTGAAAGGTTAAAGTATTACACATTGCTCCAACTGCATCAATTTGTTGAAACCACTGAAAGGCGTTGCATTGTTGTGCTGTGCAACAGTGCTGGAAGCAGTTTGTACATAGAGAAGCAAAATCTTCCAAAATATGCAGTTGTAGAAATATAGACATGATCCCATCCTGGAAAAAAGCTTGATAAAAAAGTGAAATGGCAAAACACACAAACAAACAAACAAATAAACAAACAAACAAATAAACAAACAAAAAACCCTAGAAAGCTAATAACCAAATTAAATGTCTGTCCCCAGAAATGCAAAATAAAATTGTGTATGTAAGAACAAAGCTGAATATTGACATAGTGTCTTAGAAAGTGTTTCAGAAAGAAAGTGGCATGCGTTTCTCGTTCTCCTTCACAGATCAAATCACATGGGGCAACATGTTTACCACAGAATTCACACAATGGCTACAAGAGGAAACATTTTTAATTCAAGATTAAATTCTCGCAGTACATTTTTTTTAAGTTGTGGCTTTAATAGAATAAAAAATCCAGTTTGGGATGAGCCTATTGTAGTTGAGCTCTTGTAGTCTCTGTCATTTCATAAAAACTCCACATGTCATGTTTCCTCTCAAAGGAAATCTCAATGACAACTGCACCATGGGCACAACAATTCCTAAGACTCCAGTGCAGGATGCATTAGGCGTCCTGATCAGGTGCCTAATGCACCTTAGATGATTCCTTTTGATGGAGACCCTGTATGTGTCAGGACTCACCTTATTGTGATGAGATGTTAGATTTCAGGAGCAATGTTGTCAGGGCAAATGGTCCTGGGTGAGGGGTCAGACTAAGTGCAACTCAAAATCTGAAATCAGCCCATAAACTGATTTCTGAATATATAAACCTTACTGGAGATACCCAGGGACACCGGTGGAGACCCCATCCTGATGCTAGGTCTGGTGAGGGAGCTTGTTTGGGAGTGCCTGGTGACCAGGCCTTAACTCAATACTGGTCTGTTCTTCTCTGGACCTGTATTTGAACATTCAAAAGCATGATGCTAAACACACACACAAGAAAAGACAACACTTTTCAAAAAGAGAAAGTCTTCCTTTCAGGTTCTAACCAGGCCGGATGGTGCTGAGGCTCCTGACGTTGTGAATATTCAGAGTCGTGTGTTAGTGGCAGGATCAGACACATGCCAGTCATTACCACGAAAACCATCTGAGTGTGTTTATGTCCACAGATGCAAGAAAACACATCTGAATAAGTGACGCAGTGAGTTAGTACAGTACATACAGAGAACATAGTAATGCATTAGTGAGACATGATTTTAGGTGGAATAATGTTAAAATGAAACGCAGCTGCACAGTTACAGAGGCAGCATCGCATGTAATTGTTGTTACAGCCTCTATAAAGCACCGTTTGTTATTGTGAGGATTCCTAGAACCATTCAGGACACTGAAATTACAGAAAACACTAAGAACACACAGACTCTTAAGTGCTACAGCATGCAATAATAACAAAGTTAGTCACTGACTTTTGTTTGTGTACAGACTTAGAGGGATGAGCAGCAGTAGTGCTCAGCAGTGACACTGCTTTATGCTTAGTAAGAATTTGACACCCACTTGAATAAAGAAGAGCAGTGTGTTATATTTCAACAGGAAAAAGCCACAGACAGTATTGCAAGATCGCAGCCGAAGTCAGTTTCCCAAACTAGAAAACAGCTTGTTCTTCAGTATAATTGCAAACACAGACAAATCCTGTTTTTCTTCTCTTTGGGTTCATACCCCACGATGTGGCTTTTATGTTTAAGCATAAAAGGCTTCCATGATGTTCCTGATGGCCACATCTGCATTTATTTGCAGTAACTGCTCTGCCAGGCTCAGGCCTGCACTATATCAGAATCAATACTACAGCTACAGTTGCATCTTTTTTTCTCATCCAAAGAAGAGCTTTGAGTGTC